TGTGTGTGTGTGTGTGTGTGTGTGTGTGTGCGTGTGTGTGTGTGTGACACACACACACACACACACACACACACAACACACACACACAAATTTTCTTGTGCATCTTTCTATATTTCCTGTCTTCCAACCTTCCGTGTCTTTCCTCCTTTTTTTTTGCTAGTACCTTTTGTCTCTAACTGAGCACCTCTAATGAGTGCCAAATGGTCGGTCATTCCTTGCCTGGAGTGCTTGCAGCAGCGTTAGGGGGGCTGCTCAGTTCGATATGTCTGCTTTGCCTACGGCTGAAGATGGACATTCATTGGACTCCCTAGCCCGGCAGCTGGTGGGAACCAACAGTCTTGCGGGGCTCACTTGTGGTGTGAGTAGCTGATGTACTTGGACGTGTGGACTGCTTTGTCTGTGCTCTGCCACTGCCTCACTGCCCATCCCACTTGCTCCACATGTCATTCTTCACAACAGGTCTGTTTGCCATATAGTCTGGCTGCGTTGTTGGTGTCGCCTTGTGCTTCGATGCACTGTTGCCTTGTCTTCCCACGCACTTTGCTTGTGTGCTGTGTGGTTTGGGTCCATTGGTAGTGTCGCCATGTGCTTCGCTGTGTCGTTGCCATGCTGCCCGTCCACTTGCGCTGTCGTTCGCACTCGTTCTTTGCGTTGTGCAGTTGGGTTGCTTTGGCAGCGTTGCCCGGTGCTTCGCTGAGTCATTGCTGCTGATACGTCCGGCCTGTGGTGTTGCCTGCTGGCAGTCTGCTTTCAACAAGGGTCAGAGGGTTCATGACCCAAAGCATCAATATGTGGATTCCACAGATTGTCGAGGGTTCAGCCACTGATGAGTCCAACGTAACAATCTATAATCATCACTTGCTGGTAATTTTTTACTTCATCAGTTTTTACTATTTAGTAACTGTTTACTTTTATTTTTTTCGCCTTTTTGTTTTCTTTTGTGAAAAGAGTGATGGCCTTGGTCAGGTGCTGGCAGTCCTGTCATATGCCTAGTAGCCAACATCTTTTTTTTTTTTTTTTTTTTTTTTTTTTTTCGCAATTTCATTTGTTGACAAAATTGCAAATTCCGAAAAAAAAAAAAAAAAAAAAAAAAAAAAAAAAAAAGAAAAGAAAAGAAAAGAAAAGAAAAGAAAAGAAAAAAAGAAAGAAAGAAAGAGATATCTTTGAACTGACCAGCCCCAGGTAAATTCAGAGTTATTTTCACTCATCAGATTCCACTGGAATTCAAACTGAGGTCTGCATTTCAATGGCTCGTAGATGTACCAACTTTTCTGTTTAGGGGCACTTTTGTCTTCTTTTTGTCTGCTGGTTGGTGTCTTGTCTCTGCCATGTGTGCTTGTATGTTGTCTGCCCTTCCACCTGCCCCGTGCCCCCCAGCCTATGCGTTGCCTCACTGTTCTTGCCTTCCCGTGTNCCCGTGTCTCTGCCATGTGTGCTTGTATGTTGTCTGCCCTTCCACCTGCCCCGTGCCCCCCAGCCTATGCGTTGCCTCACTGTTCTTGCCTTCCCCCGTGCTCTCCAGTCCATGTGCGTTGTTGCAGGTTGTCATCCAGCCGCACATTGCCTCCTTGCCCCTTGCTTCGCTGACTTATGCTTCCCCACTTCTTCTGTGTTTGTTTGTGATATACTATTACCTGCATTCTGGTTTGTCTCAGCTGCATTCAAGGCACAGATGCTCTGTCTTAGTCTTTCCCTGCCTTCCACTCCTGGATCATGCAACTGCCCCACGCCTAACGCCGCTGCACTAAGCAGAACATGTTTTGGCCACGCCTGTCAAGATTGCACTAGTTGTATCATTAGTAGAGTACACTACAAGCTGTGCCGATGTTTTTCAATATCAGAGCTGCCCTGGCATCACGTTCGTGCCATGGCAAGCCTGCGCACACACATGCTCATTACACACACACACACACACACACACACACACACACACACACACACACACACACACACAATCAGTTTTACGTACGTCTTTCTTCGTGGTTCTGCTGTCTGTCCTCCTTGCATTTTTTCCTACTTTGTGTGTCCAGCTAAGCACCTCTGAGCAGGTGCAATGTTCAGGGACGCTGGACCAACTTTCCAGCAGCTGCTGCTCCCCACCAATTGATGGAGCCCGCCCCGTACTGCTAGTGGTGCCCCTAGCATCCACTAGGGTGGTTCTCGTAAAATAAAATAAAAATAAAATAAAATAAAATAAAAAAAAGGGCAGCAGCAGCACTTCTGAGCAGTGCCAAATAGTCATTCATTCATTGTCTGGAGTGCCTGCAGCACTCTTAGGGGGGGTTCTCAGTTCGGAATGTGTGTGTTTCCTGCGGACGATGACAGATGTTCGTCTGAGTGACTCCCTGGCTCAGCGGGTGGCGGGAACCAACAGTTTGCAGAGTTCACTCCTGATGTGAGTAGGTGACGTGTCACTTTGCCCCGTGTTTGATGTATAGACTATCTCGTCTGCGCTCCGCCGCTGCCTTGCTGCCCATCCTGCTTCGCATGTCGTTCTTTGCAAGCTGCTGTGTTCACCGTGAGGTGTCGCTGCAGTCTTGGTGTTGCCTTGTGCCTTGCTGATCTGCTACCTTGCCGCCCATCTGCATGCCATAGCTTCACTGCCTTGTTGGTGTTCGTGTTGCATTGTGCCTCACTGCTCTGCTACCTTGCCGCCCTTCCACATGCCATGCTTTGCGCATCCTTTGCTTGGTTGCCATGCTGCTCGTGCGCTTGCCGTGTAGTTTTGGGCATTCTTCAGTCATGTTGCCTCGGCAGCGTTGCCTGGTGCTTCACTGAGTTGCTGTCCGCTGCTATGTCCCTTAGGGGACAGTCTGCCTTCAACATGGTTCAAACGGGTTCATGACCCAAACCATCAATACGGGGATTCTACAGGTTGTCGAGGATTCAGCCTCCTGATGAGTCGGTGTAACTCAGACAAAAAATCTTTCTTTCTTTTTCTTAGAGGGTGGCCATAGTACTCATCCATTGGGAGATCAGAGGGACTGCGAGGACCCAGGGGGAGTCACCTCAGGATGCCACCATGGTACCATGACCTATGCTTATGCTAATGCTCAGATCGCAAGTTGTGATCTGCACCAATGCTTACCGGACAAACCCGACGTCTTCGTGCAGACATTACCCTAACTCTAATGTGAAGGACAA